GACAATTTTGTCTAAGTTAAAAAGTTGAACCTCAATGCCACGAGTCATCCAACTACCGACTAGAAAAATGACAAAAATTTGTGTAAGTTAAAAATTGAATCTCAATGCCACGAGTCGTCCAAATACCGACTAGAAGAATGACAAAAATTTGTCTAAAAATTGAATCTCAATGCCACTAGTCGTCCAACTACCGACTAGAAAAATGACAAAAATTTGTCTAAAAATTGAATCTCAATGCCACTAGTCGTCCAATACCGACTATAAAAATGACAAAATTTTGTCTAAGTTAAAAAGGTGAACCTCAATGCCACTAGTCATCCAAATACCGACTAGAAAAAATGACAAAATTTTGTCTAAGTTAAAAAGGTGAACCTCAATGCCACGAGTCGTCCAACTACCGACTAGAGAAATGACAAAAATTTGTGTAAGTTAAAAATTGAATCTCAATGCCACGAGTCGTCCAAATACCGACTAGAAGAATGACAAAAATTTGTCTAGAAATTGAATCTCAATGCCACTAGTTGTCCAAATACTGACTATAAAAATGACAAAATTTTGTCCAAGTTAAAAAGGTGAACCTCAATGCCACTAGTCGTCCAAATACCGACTAGAAGAATGAAAAAAATTTGTCTAAGTTAAAAATTGAATCTATGCCACGAGTCGTCCAAATACCGACTAGAAAAATGACAAAATTTTGTCTAAGTTAAAAGTTGAATGTTGATGCCACTAGTCGTCCAATACCCGAATGTGTTAAGTGTAGTCGTCCATCGTGCAGCCCACTTTTTGTCTTCGAGTTATTTATACTCGCCCAGTCGGACTTTTGCCGACAATCACGAGTTTTGTCTTTGAGTTATTTATACTCGCCCAGTCGGGCTTTTGCCGACAATCACGAGTTTTTTCTTCGAGTTATTTATACTCGCCCAATCGGACTTTTGCCGACAATCACGAGTTTTGTCTTCGATTTATTTATACTCGCCCAGTCGGACTTTTGCCGACAATCACGAGTTTTGTCTTCGAGTTATTTATACTCGCCCAGTCGGACTTTTGCCGACAATCACGAGTTTTGTCTTCGAGTTATTTATACTCGCCCAGTCGGACTTTTGCCGACAATCACGAGTTTTGTCTTCGAGTTATTTATACTCGCCCAGTCGGACTTTTGCCGACAATCACGAGTTTCGTGTAACTTCTGTATAAGAATGTCAAGAATATATGAGGAAAAAAGAAATGGTGATATTCATTGAATTGAGAAGTTATTGAATTGTGGTGCCTCGTTAAAAACCTTCTCAACAAAACCCCCTCTCATTTTTACGGGGAAAAAATACTGAGTTAGGAAAAGAGTGCACCTAATAATACAAATGGAAAGAAAAATTAGCTGTAATAGAAACGCAAGTTTGCAGCGTTCCAAGTTCTCGGTATCATGCCTCCATCCAAAGTTCTCAGTCGGTAAGCTCCTTTGCCGACGACATCATCAATTTTATAAGGGCCGACTCACTTAGGTGACAGCTTGTTCCTCATTTGAGTTAGCTGAGCGCGTTTCAGAACAAGGTCCCCTACGACAAAGTCTCTCGGGACAACCTTTGTATTATACTTGAAAGTCGTTCTTCTCTGGGCTGCTACTTGATTTATCCTTGCTCTCTCCCTTGTTTCTGTGATCAGGTCCAAGTCAACTCGTCTTCCTTGGTCGGATTCCTCCTCGGAAAAAGCTGTAGCACGTACTGAGGGCTCAGCAATTTCAATCGGGATCATGGCGTCTGTTCCGTACACTAGGTTGAAAGGGGTGTCCTGGGTAGAGGAATGGACAGTTGTGTGGTATGACCATAACACTCGGGGAAGCTCCTCCACCCATGAAGCGCCTGAGTCCTGGACGCGCTTTTTCAAACCTGAGAGTATAACCTTGTTGGCCGACTCCGCTTGGCCATTAGATTGGGGATATTCGACGGAGGTGAACGTCATTCGGATGCCGATCCCTCGACAAAACTCGCGGACTCTCGCACTCGTGAATTGTGTCCCATTATCTGACACGAGCATCTGGGGAACGCCATATCTGCATACTACATTCTTCCATAGAAATGTCCTTACCTTCTCCGCTGAAATGGTTGCAACAGGCTCTGCCTCAATCCATTTGCTGAAGTAGTCCATGGCCACGATCAAGAATTTCAATTGTCTCACAACAATCGGAAATGGACCGAGAATGTCAATACCCCACTTGTTGAATGGCCAAGGAGACAAGATCGAGTGGAGTCGTTCAGCCGGAGAGTGGTGCAAAGTTGCATGCCTTTGACATCCATCACATTTTTGAACCCAATTTACGCAGTCATTTCTCAGACTCGGCCAAAAGTAACCTGCCCTCGCAACTTTGTACACAAGAGCTCGTCCTCCGATATGACTTCCACACATTCCACTATGCACTTCGTCCATCACTCTTTGCGCTTGTGACGTGGTCAAACACCTTAAAAGGGGAGAGCTGAAACCTCTTCGATACAACCTTTCATTGATGACCACGAACCTGGCTGACTTTCTCTATATTAGTTATGCCTCCCTTTTATCCTCTGGTAACTCTCCCTGAGTCAAATATGCGATGTACGGTCCTATCCATGAATCGAGCTCTTCTTGGATGAAAAGAACACCCCCTGTGGCTCGTTGATACTTGGTTGCGCTAGGGTTTCTTGGATGACCGACCGAGTGGCTCCTGGCTTCTTCGTGCTTGCAAGCTTGGAGAGCAGATTGGCCCTCAAATTTTGCTCTCGTGGTACGTGGTTAAGCGTGAACTCTCGGAAATTTTCCGATAAGAGCTTAACCTTTTCCAAGTACTTAGCCAGTTGAGGGTCATTTGCCTGGAAAGTGCCTGCTACCTGCCTCGTGATCAGTTGAGAGTCACTTCGTGCTTATAAACTCGTCGCCCTCATTTTCTTCGCCAAAGCCATGCCGACCAACAACACCTCGTACTCGGTCTGGTTATTGCTTGCTCGGAATTCAAAACGCAATGATTTCTCCAACAAAATTCCTACCGGCCCTTCCAAGACGATCCCTGCTCCACTTCCTCCAAGGTTCGAGGCTCCGTCCACTGATAGGATCCACTGCGTCTCTCCAGTATTGCCCTCATCGGTGGGTGAGGTCAGCTCCATCACGAAGTCAGCTAGCGCTTGGGCTTTTATTGCTCCTCTCGGCTCATACTTGATGGAATTCTCCGATAGCTCCACAGACCACTTCATCATCCGGCCTGCTAGGTCGGGCTTCTGTAGCACTTGCCTAATCGGATGATCTATTCGGACTACCACCTCATAGCTCTGGAAATAGTGCCTCAACTTCCGTGCTGTAACCAGTATCGCAAGAGCCAATTTCTCAATCTTCTAATACCTCGTTTCTGCTCCTTGTAGGACCCGACTCACAAAATACAAAGGGACTTGAGAGCCTTCCTGCTCTTGGACTAGAGCCGCACTGACAGCTCGGTCGGAAGCCAATATGTAAACCAACAAAGGGATATTCGACCTCGGTCTCATGAAGATCGGGGGCGACGCGAGCGACTTCTTCAACTCCAGAAAGGCCTCCTCGCACTCAGTCGTCCAAGCAAAGCGGTCATTCTTCCTTAAGCATTGAAAAAGCGGGAGGGCCTTGTCGGCTGCCTTTGAAAGGAAACGCGACAAAGACGCCATTCGCCCAGCGAGCTGTTGCACCTCCTTCACCGTTGCTGGACTCCTCATGTTGATGATTGTCTAGCACTTTTCTGGATTTGCTTCAATGCCGCGATGGGTTAGCAGGAAACCAAGGAACTTTCCCGCTTGAACCCCAAAAGAACATTTTTCGGGGTTCAACTTCAGCTGATACTTGCCTATGGTCTCAAATAGTTCTTGCAGGTCGTCCAAATGCCGATTCAGACTCATTGATTTCACCACCATGTCATCCACATAAGCTTCCACGTTCCTACCCAGCTGGTTCGCCAATACTTTGTCCATCAAACACTGATACGTTGCACTCGCATTCTTCAAGCCAAAAGGCATGACCTTGTAGCAGTAATTGGCTTGATCGGCGATGAACGCGGTTTTGTCCTCATCGGCCGGGTGCATTCGAATCTGATTGTAACCTGAATACGCATCCATGAAACTTAACAGCTCGTACCCCGACGCGCCATCGACGAGGCAGTCTATATTCGGCAAAGGGTACGAATCCTTCAGACACGCTTTGTTTAAATCAGTGAAATCTGTGCACATTCTCCACTTTCCACTGCTTTTACGTACCATCACAACATTTGCGAGCCAGGTCGGGTATTGTATTTCTCGTACATGCCCTGCCATTAATAACTTGTTTGTTTCTTTAGCGATGGCTTTTCGTTTTTCTTCCCCGAATTTCCTCCTTTTCTGGATCACCGGTTTTGCACTTGGGTCTATGGCCAGCCTGTGGCACATGAAGTCGGGGTCGACTCCTGGCATGTCTTTGGCGTGCCACGCGAATGCCGATATGTTCACCTTCAATACCTCTATCAGTTTCACCGCGTCCTCCGGGCTTAGGGATGTTCCAATCTTTACCTTCTTCCCTTCCATTAAGGTCACTTCTTTAACATCCTCGGCAGGGGCTGGTCGGCGATCAAAATGGCTCACTCTAGGATCTAGATCAACGGAGTGGACCTCCTGCTCTACCTGCGCAGTGTACAGTCACCTTCGTGCCTTTAAACTATCCCCATAGAATTTTCGAGCAACCTCCTGGTCTACTCTAAGGACCCCCACAGTACCGTTCGGCAACGGATACTTTACCTTCAGATGGGACGTAGACACTACCGCTCCTAACTTGTTCAGGGTCGGTCTGCCGATCAGTATGCTGTAAGATGATTGAGCATTGACCACCAAATATCGAACGACCACTGTCTTCATCTGAACTCCTTCATCAAAGGTCGTCTCCAGATCGGCGTATCCCCTCGCGATGACCTGGTCTCCTGCAAAACCCACTAGAGTCCCTGCATAAGGAATGAGGCGGTCGTTAGGTATTTTCATCCCCTCAAAGGCTTCCTAGAATAAGATGTCCGCGGAACTTCCCTGATCAATCAACACTCGCTTCACAGTGTACCCCATAACAATCGCCGATATGACGACGAGGTCGTCCTCGTGAGGGGCTACTCCTTCATAATCTGAGTCTGAGAACGAAATCTCAGGCTGAGACGGTCGCCTGAATTCCGATACTGTCAGCACCGACCGAGAGTACCTCTTTCGGGCTGCTGAGGTAGCTCCTCCGCTTGCGAAGCCCCCTACAATGGTATTGAAGTCCCCGTGGATGGGTTGCTGGTGGGTTTCCGACACCTTTATTGGTGTGTCTCTGGGAGGAGTTCTCTCTCTACGCCTATCCCTCCTGGTGTCATCCTGTGCGCGCCTGTGTCGCCTATCCGACGAGCCTCCTTCCTGTTTTCTTGCCACAAACTCTTTCAGCCACCCCTCCTTGATCAAACGCTCGATCTGCCTTCCTAGGACAAAGCAATTTTCAATGGAGTGTCCATGAGCTCTATGGAACTCACACCAATCAGTTTTGAAGGGTCCCAATTGACGTTCCGTTGCCGCTGGAAATTCAAACAACGATGCGCTGTTAAAATCGTGAAGTATCTGTCGCCTGGGAACATTGAGTGGAGTAAACTTCTCTTCGTCAATGTTGCGTGTCCACTCTCCCCTTGCCCGACCACCGTGATCGGCCTGCCTGTAATTGCCCTCCTTCGAGTTGTAACGGTCACGTCGTTTACTCCAGTCCGATCGCGGTCGGAGATGCTTATTTCCCGCCTTATTGCTGCCCCCTGCCTCTCAGCTTTCCGCTGCTCTCTTGTTGATCTGTCCTTCCTCCGTCTTGATATGACTCAGCGCGAAGGCTCTCACCTCCGACATCGTCTGGCAATTTGCTCTTTCCAGAGCGATGACGAAAGCTCCAGACCTCAGGCCCTTCTGGAATGCGATGACAGCCATCCTCTCATCCAAAGATGCTATCCTCAAAGCAACCTCATTGAACCTTTGCATAAAGTCCTTCAGCGACTCCTCCCGCTGCTGCTTGAGATCGAATAAGTCCGATGTAATCGGTGGCTTCTTCTTGTTGGCAGCGAATTGCGCCATGAAAAGCCTACTGAAAACGTCGAAGTCGGTAATTGAGCGGTCAGGGAGACCACTAAACCAATCAAGTGCTGCTTTTTTAGTGTTCCCATGAAAAGCTTACAGCGGACTTCCATGCCTCCCCCACAGATTAGCATTTGGGCTCGGAAATCCGTCAGATGCTGACTTGGGTCCTGCGTTCCATCAAAGGGCTCGACTTGGGGTATCCGATGATCCCTGGGGATGGCCTCGGCCTCTATGGCTTCTGAGAAAGGCCAAAAATCCCTAGGGACTTCCAACATAACATCCTCCTCCACCGTCCTGGTACTGGCTTCTATTCTGGCCTGCATCTCGTCTGCTCGCCTCCTGATCTCCTCGTTTTCACGTTGGATGGCCTCCTCTCTCTCCCTGGATCGCGCATTCTCCTCCCTTAAGCCATTGATCATGGCCATCATCTCCTCCACGGTTGGTGGTTGCGCGTTGTTGTTGTTATTGCCGCCTCTCGCCATGGTAGAATGTAGGTTTCTTTTGTGTTTCTTGGGGCGTAGGAAAAGTTTCACCGTAGCCCCACGGTGGGCGCCAAAATGTTCCGGCCAAAGGGTGGACTAGGGATTCTTCCTTGGTCAAGCCTCAAAGCCAGAGCATTCAAAAGTGTAATCTGCCTCCTTAGCTCTAGGGTTTTTGAGTTCTATAGCTTTGTAGTTCATGGGCCTCTTGGGCCCCGAGAATTTGGGGATTTCGTAACCGTTATTATATCAAAGATATTTGATAAGCGTGGAGATGTTGAGTCGGATCCTGACTGACAAGGTCCGCCCAAAGGGTGTAGTCGGGCATTGGCCGACTAAGCTATGATGGGTAAGAGGTATCGGGAATAGGCCGACAGGTGTTACATGGGGATGCCCAATCGGGCCTCGACCGAGTATACGTAGAAATGGAGCTGTTCGGTCGGGTTATGGTCGGTGTATGGCAAACCGAGAAGGTCCAGGTCAGAATCCGACCTGGACGGTCCACTTGCCTCTCAGCCCTGAGCCTAGAAGGCGAGAGGGCTTGGGGCCTAGTCGTCGTGGTTTGAACTCGGAGCAAGCCGAGAAGGTAAGGTCAGTAGTCGACCTGGACGGTCCAAATATAATTATTATTATTGATAATATAATTATTATATATTATTATATTTTTGTAACAGTCTGGACACACCAAAATAAGAGAGATCCAAAGATAGTATAAGTATGACATTGTATAATTGAGGATGACTTAAATGAATTAATTTGTACTACCTATACTGACAACATCCATCTACTTTTTGACAGCGTATCTCATCAGAACTCCACAGTTAAGCATGCTTGACTTGGAGTAATATAGGGATGGGTGATCTTTTGGGAAGTTTCTCATAAATTGTGCAAGTAAGCACAAAACACGTTAAAAAGTGAAGCGTCGTGAAATAGAATCCTTGAGAGATCAAATATGAGGGCTGTTACATTAATAAATTTATTAAAATTAAACAAAAAAATTTTGACAGATTTATCCGTCGGAATCATATAAATATTTTCAAACAATTTTCAAAGGATGTATCCGTCAGAAATTTCTGACGGATAATTACCAATGGATATATCCATCGAAAATTTTTGACGTATTAAATTATTTCCGAAGGATTTTTTTTCCGACGCCCCTTTTCCGACGAATTTGCATCCGTCAGAAATCCTTCGAATAGAGAATTTCCGACGGTTATTCCTTTTTACCGACGGATTATGTTTGTCGGAAATTTGCATTTTTCTTGTAGTGAAAGGAAACGAAGAAGTAAGCAACATAAAAATTATTTTTTTCGGAGCATGATAAAAAAAATAACTCTACTTAAATTATTCCACTTAATGACTCATATTTTATATTAAATTTCAACCATTCAATCATTGGATTAAAAGTTCTTAATGCATAAATCAAGTTTACAAGCTTTTAAAAAATTTGGAAATTATATAGATTTAAATTAACAAATAAAATATTTTTATAATTATTCATCAATTTGAATTAAAGAAATAAAATATTAATAGTTTTTAATTTTTTAAAAATTTGTAGATGTGGACTTCTAATTTAATAATTGAATTGTTAAAATTTGATGTAAAATATGAATTATCAAGTGGAGTACATTTAAGTGTATATATATATATATATTATACATAAAAAGGAGAAATACAAGTTAAGAATGCAAATTGAATCGAAAGAAGATCAAAATATAAGAAAGAAATTAATTAATAAAAGACAATAATTAATAAAAATAAAAAAAATAAAAAATAGTATGTTCAAATTATAAATATATAGAAGACAAAATAACTCAAAATACATATATATGTATTATTTTGAAGTCTCGAGCACCTCTTCATTTATGTGTAGTTCCATCGTACTACTCATGACCCATTGGCTCTTCCAATAGGTCCAATTACGATAAAAGAAAAAAGGAAAAAACCTAATTTGGTCCCTTATTATAATTTTTTATTTCAATTTAGTCTCACTTTAATTTTTTATTTCAATTTGGTCCCTAATAAATTAAATTGTTGCAATCTCGAACTTCCGTCAAAATTATTTAAACGGAGTTAAATGTTGGCCAAGTGGATGACACGTAGATGTATAGGTGGATGCCAAATTCCTTTAATGCATCTAGAACCAGAACGGGCCGTTCTGGTTTTAGAACAGGTCGTTCTAGTTCCAGAATGGCAAACGCAAATGGTCGATGATTATAGTTCACGGTTGTGAATCGTGCAAGGAAAAAGACCCAAGGTACAAAGCATTTCAAACACTGGATTTGGTAATATTATCAATGGGGATTGATAACTTCAATTGCTAAACATTTGGGCTATACAGTGTATCATTAAGGACAATGCAGTGTATCATTAGGGACAATGGTAGCAAGTTCTATTTCATTGTTAGTCAAACTGGAGTGAATCACTTACTACCAAATTGACACTATATAGTCAAGGATGGAATGACATAGTGTTTCCCCTTGAAGTCATTGACTGGTGTACCCCAACAACAACAATCTGTTCTTAAGGAGGTACAACCTGAAGTAAAGGAAGAGGATACACAGGACCAACATTTCACCACACAACCATATGAACAGGTAGATAATGCTAATATCCTATCAGCCATTCAGTGTTATATGGTAGATAAGATGTATTATTGACACCTTCAGCATTATCCATATGATTTCCCTTCTCAGTAATTTCTTTGAACTTTTTTATTATATGTTATGTTATGTTATGAATTTTTGTTTTCAGTCTCTGAACCATATTTCTGTCTTTGAATTTATGATATGTTATGAATTTTTATTTTCAATTTTTGAATCAAATTGTCACATTTTGTTGAACGCACGTATGTGGTTGGCATTTTGGAACGGTCCGTTCTAAAACCAGAACGACCCGTTCTGGTTTCAGAACGGTCCATTCTACTGCACTCGTGGTGTGTTAATTTTGCACCTAGAACGGCCTGTTCCAAATACAAAATTAACACACAACATGTGCAACCAGAACGAGTCGTTCTAGTTTCAGAACGGGCCGTTCTGGTTCCATATGCATTAAAGAGATTTGGCATCTACCTATGCATCTATGTGACATCCACGTGACCAACAGTTAACTCCGTTTAAATAATTTAGATGGAAGTCCGACATTTCAACAATTTAATTTATTAGAGACTAAATTGAGACCAAATTAAAACAAACAATTATAATAAAGGACCAAATTAAGTTTTTAGCCATGCAAAAACAAAATATCCTTCGTTAATTCTTGTCTTCCGAT